ACCCTTCTATCGACAATAAATTTCAAATATTCAACTAAAACGTCTCAACGCATTGGTTAGATGTGAATCACATATGCAGCGATATATCTTACAACACTTGAACGACAAAGTGTTGATGATGCTTCGCATGATGATTGACCCTGTTGTTATCAGGAAGAAGCATACTGACTGAATACGACTTAAGATTGATATATGGCGGGTCCCTCATGTGGAACAGAATGTGTTCATTCTTTTCTAAACACTTGACATCACTTATGCCTTGGGGTCAATATGTCATTCTTTCAGTGACTTGTCTGTGATTGTTTTGTGTAGTTTGTGTCTCATGTTTTTGGTATCATTGTTATTTCTATTTCAAGACGTCACTGTATACAGCCACAGTTTGAATGATACTGGCCCTGAACATTATAGAACGGGACCTGACTAAAAATTATATATACAAGTACTTGCCTGCATGCATGCTAAGCATGGATTGGAATATTGTGTAAGTTAGCACTCTCCCAGTGAATTTTTTTTGTAAACAACAATACACCACTACATAAGATGCCGTCATGTTTCATACATAATTTATCTGCCAAAATGTGCTAATCCGTCAAAACAGAGAAAAGTGAAAAATAATAAAAAACAGCCAGATTTTGCTAGGTACTTATAGTCAACCAATGCAAAAAATGGTGATTTTACGCGCCTTTATATATCTTTATGTATTGGTCTCTAAATCATTATTATTAGGAGAGGGCTTGTAGTTTCGCCTTCGTCAGTCGGTCATGAGTTATTCCTCGGAGATGGCTAGACCAATTTTTTTGAAAATTTAGTGCACGTCAATTTATTTTGCAAGTCGATCAAATGTGGCCGACTGGCGGCCATTTTTAATGCCAAAATTCATTCAAATTCGGAATCTATAAGCGCGCGTACTAGATGGAACGCTTCGCCCGAACGCGCTTCGGCATACAGAGTAGACGACGATGTCCTCACGAAATTGTCTGATTTCGATATTGTACCGGTGTTATTGGCAAAGGGCCATTTTATTTGATGCCGATTTTAGTAATAAATGCTTGTTATCTAATAATTTTACTTCTTTTAACTGTTTCTCCTTTATTCGTTTTAAAAAACAACATTGTATTCATCCATGGGCAATTGATGCTCAATAACGGAATACATTATCGCGAATAATCTGCTGCAATGACGTCATAAAATCTGCTGGTATTGATAATGCTATACTATACAAATGATAGGAATGTTAACATAACATTACAATGTGCATGTGACTGTATTGTAAATAATGTATATGTAGATTATTTGCAGCTGTCTTATAATAGAATTAACTTATTTTATATCCTCTTTTTTAAATTAATGCATCAGTGTATTGGTAATATAAGCTGTACCTATAGCATAGTGTGTCATATACTTCTTCATTGATCATATTAATTTACATATCATATCACAATTTTATACCGTAAAACCTGGTCATTCGCATTAATACATCGTATATATATATATGGTTGCCGTGCATTATGTAATAATAAAATATATCGTCTTACTCTAGGAAATCATCTGAAAATATCCATGTCTCTGAAAAATCAGATCTGACTTGCAAAACTAATTCGACATCTTCGTCAATATTCTCGTCATCTGTAAATTCATCACTTTCAAATCTACCAATTCGACTACTAATTTCTCTGGTACTTTCCAGGGCACTTAAGCAGCAATCAGCAAATGCTTCAAAACGTTCATTATTTTGCTTTATTGTCCCTACACGCATATCTTCTAGTTGTGAAGCTTGTTCAGTACAATACTCTTCAAAGTTTTCAATATCTATTGGCGATTTTCTAGCGCTGTTCTGTCCATCTATGCAAAAGTCTCGTAACATACCATTATACTCATTAGCTGCAACACACAAAGTTATGTTCAATGATAATTTACTCACTTAAATCTAAATATAGCAGTAAGTGTTCTCGAGAGAACTCTTTAGCTAACCTGGTTGGTAAATCATTTCACTGGTTTACTGTTGCTTGGCAGAGTAAACTCGTTAAGTATGAAATGATCGACTAAATCGACAAAACTAAATCTGCCAGTCAGAAAGGTACTGGTGTTAATACTCAACAGTATAGACGTCATTTTACACATTGTGTTACCCTTGCTTAAACCGTCCAACATTTGGTTGCTACAGAAGGCAACAAAAACAACACAGCATCGATTTACCTCCACCCAACACTACCGCTCCCCCCAAAAAACAAAAAAAAAACAATCGACGGTTATTCACTTGCACTAAATGCAGAATAAGTGTCGTAACATATCATTGAATATTAAAAGCATTTGTAGTATGTAGTATCAATTTCATCTAAGTAAGGTTTTATTTTTCAACGTTTGTAGATTTTTTGTTTGATATTATAGTATCGAACGATAAAATAAACATGTGTATTTTAATAACATACTATTAAAATGAAATGAAAAAACGATTGCAAAAAACAATGGTACAAACATCTCAGAAATAAGTATTGCCTGTCAATTATTACCGTAATAAAGGAATTTTAACTTGTGAAGCAAGGTTCAAAATCATAATGTTGTTGCATCGCCATAATGTCTATCGTATATGTTCTGCTCATCAATTTAGATAGTATTTGTAATTGTAATTAAGGAAATTCACATCACTCACAATACTTGTAATCTTTTTGTAGTATGGAGTAGGGGAAGATTAAATTATTTGTGGACGGGAAAGTTAAATAATGTTTGCCAAATGAGGGCGTAGAGACTTGTGTTAATTTGTGTGTTTTGTGAATTTAGAAGTAAAACACTTGAATTAAATATAGTATGACTTAATTTAATTTCGTTTAGTATATTTATTTCGCACATTATGAATTACTGCGATGGTATAATCTAGGTATGAACTATTGTAGACGTCTTTTAAATTATCTCAAAGCTGGGGAGGTGAGGCGTTAAGTGAGTGAGGTATTTATGATCGACCTGAGGGGTTTGATTTGTCTGCATGTCAGAGTTGTTACATAGAATGAAAGAGCTGTCATACACGTGGCCACATGTTTGGGAAAGGTATTTGAGTGATGATTTTGTGCTCGCCGCTGACGACGTAGCTATACTGTCCTTCCTTGTGAAGTACTGCAAGTAAACTGCGCCGACCATTGAAATGCGCGATTGAAGATGTGCCATGTTTATCGCTTCCCATTGGAGACGCATCTTCCTGAACAGTGAGAAAAACATATGCATATCTCGATAAGCTGCGGACCATCACCAAATAACTGACAGTGTGGAATGGTGCAAACCTAAACACTTAATTTCGTATTTTATTGCGACATTCGAGTAAAATAGTCTCCGAGTTGACTGTTTTCATGTTGATCTGGGGTGCATGCAGTATTTAAATTGATAATGATGAACCCTGCATTAAGTTGAATATATATGTACATGTCATTTTTGTCATTTAAATTTCCTTGGCAAATAATTGTTATAATTTGAATGTTGATGAAATTATGCGTGGCACAGCCGTATTTTTGAAGTTTTTGGGTGTATTTGATCAAATGATTTTGTTATGTATAATTAATATTTATTAATTCCCATCCATGCCTGTACTCGCTGTTATTACTGTATGTGCTGTTTATTGACTAGTGTTGTAATACTTATTGTGTATAATTCTTCTGTTATTGGAAGTGGGGGGTCGTACCATACGTTAGTTGCCGGGGTTTGGTCTATACTGTCACTTGAACCTTACCCCAGGGACGTAAATATACTGATGTAACATAATTTCATTTACGCAATTCTAAAATTAATCATGCCACCATGTTTAGTGATATTCATAAAAAAACAAACCTTTTGCGCTCAGGGATCTTCTTTTTCTAGCAACTACAACGGCACTACACCCATAACCTGTCAATGAAAAGGAATATCGTCCTATAAATTTGCTGAAGGTTGAATTAGTAATCATTATTTGATTAGAAGTCTAATGCATTAAGGAAAGAGATTAGAAATGTAGTCAATCGATGTTTTGATAATTTAAATTAATAAACAAGTTATAAAAACAATACCAAAGTTATACAAAGGCACTATCATCTAGCATATTGTATTGGAAATAGAAAACACTTTTTGTCGCAAACGGAACAAATCTAAACGGTGTGTATGTGCTCGTGGGTGCCTGTGTGTGTAAAGATGTATGATTGTGTACACGTGTTTTGGGTTAGTTGCCCCAATAATATTTTAACTTACTTTCCCTTTTTTCTGTTTCCAAACTAGCATCGGTCATAACCAACATGCCAGCATCCTGTAAGACACAAATTATATAGTAGCCATGTAACCAGATATAACCAGCTATTAACACAATCATGCCACAACTATCTGAATATTGGTCTGCAATATACACATCTATATTCAAACTAAACCACTCTTTTCATAAATTAAGTTTATGGTTTGAGATGCATCATTCCGAAAAAATATGATAAATAAGTAAAAAATATTGCCATTTAAAAGAAATCAAATATTACCACCGAAGAACTT